TTATATCAGTCACTAGGTAACAAATTACTAGATTTTATGTGTTAACATAATTATAATAATTATACAATTTGTACATTAAATCAATGGAATTCTTTTAGATTACAATATAATTATATATATATATATATATATCTTTATAAAATTCATAATTTAAAATACAAAATTTCTTTTCTTATAATATAGTATCAAAATCACCTTGTCTATTTTTCAAAAACTTTGCATGCATATTATTTAAGTCATACCTAGTTCTAACAAAAACTACCCCCAACTAGCATCATTAGCCACTACAGTGCCATTATCCATCATTGAAAGAGAAATTCGGTGTAACCTTGCTAGTTGAAATTGTGAAAGATCGTCGTACTTGCCTTACACCATTTCACGTTGTGTTGAATCCATGTCACTCTACAACCACCAAATCACAACACCATTGCCACCAACCACCTTATCTCTTCTCGATCGATCGATCACCATTTGTTGGAGCTCCATCAGATGTCGTGTGTGCCCCCATGTGTCGGCAAACTTGCTGTATTTCTCTTCTATTGTCCATATCATCTTGCAAGTCCACAGCAACCTACCATTTCATCTGCTACATCAACACATTGCAATGTCTTGACCACGTCATTTGTCACGTCAACATTTTCCCAAAATCATTATTTCTACTAATTTTGATTATAAGATGGAGAAATATGAAGTTTCTAGGCTAATTTCAATCGTTGTGATAGAAAAAAACTATAATACATGGATCCAAGGAATGAAAAGTTTTCTAATTGGGTGTAAATTAATTCATAAAACTTTTCAAGATTAAACTTTCAAATCCTTATTAACATTAAACTATGTTTTTTTAGAAAAAAATCATCTGACTTATATCACGTTTGTCTTTCTTGATACAATTTTCATTATGATGTATCAACTTGTCCCAACTTGCTTTCACAATTCAAAACAAACTATAAAGCTTGCACTTCACTTTTGGCTTTCCATCACTTGTGTTCTCCTCAGAAAAATGTTCACAAAATCTCCAAACTTTTGAAGTTAACTTTCATGTTTTGCGTTGGCATGTCTTCTTTTCTTCTGTCTGTCTTACCTTATCTATTTGTACACAGTCATCAGATTTCTCTACAAAATGAAGATTTGATTCAAGGGAAATATTGATATTGTTAGATTCTATTTGCAAACATTAACAATATAAATAACATTTGAAAATATTTTTTATGCTTAACAAAATGAGTTTGACATTTTCGAATCTAGATAATAAACAAAAGAGTATGCTCAACAAAATCAGAAACATAATTCACCTCAAAACTAGACAATAACTCTATTTAAATAAAATAATTTTTTTTTGAAATGCCATTGCTGCTGCCATTAAGTTGAGCTTTAAATCAATCATCAAGCAACATAAATATCTCCAAGACATAATTAATTACATTTGAGTTTATATCCTTTTATTGAAAAATGGTGAATCAAAAATAAAAAACCACAAGATTTTAACAAGGGAGCTCTTCAGAATATGCCTCTACCATTATTGTTGGTGAATCAAGTAAAATTGCTTAAAGTATGATGAATTCAGAAGGTGAACTATGACTTTTGTCTAAATTGTAAAGAAATTGATGTCTGCAAAACTAAAGCAGGTTAACTGTTACCTCAAGTATGTCTTTCAAAAAACTTCTCTATTAGACCTGAGAATGCTACAAAACCAGCACAACTAGCACCGCCGAATTTGTTTAACTCCGTGTCTTTTTGTGTCGTGTCCAAAATTTCCAAGTTTACTTGATGCTGGGCGTAAGCAAGGCCAAACTATTTGCTCAAGCAAGGGGACTCATGCTTACTGACATAATGGTGAATGGACAAAGAGTGGAGGCTCTTGTTGACACAAGGGCTTTAGACTTATTTATGGTAGAGGGATCTTGAATCCCACAAAAAAGGTTGGTTTCATCAAGACGGTGAACTTAAAAAATGTTCCAACCATGGGCTCAACAACAGTAGAGGTACACTTAGGTGCTTGAAAAAGTAAACAACCTATCTATGTAATCCCTTTGGATGATTATGATTGTCATTGGCATTGGATTCCTTGATCAGATTAATGTTTTACTTGTGCTCTTTGCAAATTGCATTTGTGTGTTGGATGCCAAGGGCCAATATGTCATGTTAATGAGACGAGAGTAGCCGAGATGCCAAGCTACTTTCAACCATGCAACGAGCCAATGGTGCTCGATGAAACGAGGAGACATTTGTTACTGTCTTCAAGTTTTACGGTATTGGATGAGTTTAAGGATGTGATGCCAACAAGTCTACTTACTAGGCTTGCCTCCTAAGAGGGAAATTGATCATCACGTTGAGGTGGTGCCAAGGGCACAACCACCACCTCAAGCCCCTTATCGGATGTCCTCTTTAGAGTTGGCCGAGTTAAGAAGCAACTTATAGAGTTGATCAATATCGAGTTCATCAAACCTTCCAAATCCCCATATGCAGCATCAGTGTTATTCCAACGTAAGCAGCTCACATAACTTCTGTGCACAGTTTTTTAGCTATTGCTACTACCAAACATTGGACACTTGTTTAAATGTATATCAAGAACGTATTTCTCAATCTTGATTTATGGGAAAAAGTGAACATGCTGTCTCCACCTGGTTATTTCATTTTCTTTATTAAAGTCTAAGTTTTAATGAGCCTTATACAGCTTGAAACAAGCATTAAGAGGCTAGTTTGCAAAATTTAGTTCCACTATTTCTTAGTTTTGTTTTATTTCTAACCCTCATGATTTTGTTATTTATTCGGATTATTACTTATGGAATTGTTCTACCTCTTCCCTATATTGATCATGTGACCATCACTAGTGATGATAAAAATTGCATTCCAAAATTAAAAATCTTAATCAACAGTTTGAAATGAAAGATCTTGGGTTTCTTAGTCATTTCTTGGAGCTTGAAGTCTTCTCCAACTTTAATGACTATTATCTTTCTCAAGTTAAGTATGCATCTGCTTTACTTTCTTGGGTTGGTATTAACGACAACGAGTCTATCTTTACTCTATTGGAGCCTAATGTTAAACTTACTTCTATGGATAGTACTTCTCTCCCTAATCCTACTTTATACCACTAAATTGTTGGAAGTTTAGTCTAATCTCATAGTGACTTAGCTTGATATTGCTTATTTTGTTCATTTAGCTAGTCAATTTATGGTTGCTCATAGTTCATCTCATTTTTTAACAATATTAAAAGTCAATTTATGTATTATTAAAAGTCATACTATTATTTTTATAATTTCAAAAAGAAAGAAATGAAAAAGAAAAATGTGTAACATAAAATTAACATATTTGATTAAATAAGACATTTAAAATATTTACTTATTTTACGAGAAGCGATAAGATGCCTTAAAATTATACTCATACTTAACTTTATGTTGTTTATTAAATATAACTTTTGAAGATGAGGATTCGAAACCAACTTCTTAAAAGAGATACATATGTTTATCATTAAACAAAATATTTAAGTGCTGATTTTATATTTTAGCTTATATTCTATTTTATGTTTCATCTTTTGATGATGGGATTAGGGTGTTGGGATGATAGACAAGTTATAAATTAGATGGCTGCGCCCATGATCCAATCTGAATGGTCTAAGTTAATCCCATTATTATAACATCAGCACAACTGGCCTTTCATCACAAATGGAAAAAGGATAAATTCATGATTGGAGGTAGATGATGAAACCCAGGTAAGGCACATTTCTTCACGTGAGAGCTGAGCTGGTTCATCCCTTCGCATTTGCCAATACCAATGGATTGTGTCTCTTGAGTTAGCAATTGTTGGCAATTTATTCCAAATGAATGGCCAATGGGGGGTGCCCAAAACCTAATTACTATATTCATTTCCAGACCAATTCATGTTCTTTCCAGTTTTAATGTTGCCTCCCAAATCAATGTTCTAGATCCATGTCATTTTGTAGCCTAAGCCATTGACAATTATACAAGTCAACCAACGAAAATGCTCATTCTGGCAAACAACACATTTGTCTCTGGCATGGGAAGTAAAGATACAATTTTAGGGCTCTTGTCACAAGTCTGGGGTCAATCTAACGTGAGCCCGGCCCTGCTAAACCTTGTGAAAATTAAGGGTCAAATTATTATACTTTTATTACTAGTATTAGACAGTTCAATCATAGAAAAGTGATAAAAGAAAAATTCGAATTTTACTTTCTAAATAAGAGATCATATATCAATCAAAAAGATAAATATTTATATGTTTATGTGATAAATACATTATTATTTATTTTTTTAATACATGTAACATAAGATTAAGATAAATAGATTATTTTTTTTCTCAAATTTGATTTTTTTTATCTAAAATTAAAAATTTTAAGTTGTTATGGTTGAAACGATCATATCATAAGTTGCACTTGCATGCATGGCAAATAACTTAAAAACAAAGGAGAACGATCATGCTTCCTACTTCCTTACTTAAGCCTCACTCCCTGTTTCCCCACGCAAATTTATGCCTGCCACTGTTGGATAAATGATGACAAGTGTGAGGATGGAAGGCTGTGGGTGTAGGCAGGAAAACCTGATATAATTGAATATAACAATTAATAATTTTATATTGATTGATATTTAATTTCCATTTTCATTGCACTGCTTATTATTATTGATTGCCCATCACTTAATGAATTACTTTTTGTTTTTAAAGCTATTATTATCTATTTTAATTATTTTTTTTTAAGAGTGAAAAAAAAGGGACTTATTTATGATGTGTATCTGTAAAATTTAAATTCAATTATAATAACACAAAGAATTTGATTTTTTTTTCTCTAAAATCCCTTAAACTCCACTAAGAATAACATCCAAAATAATACAAAAATACAAGAGCAAAGGAAAGAAATTTTAGAAAATAGTTAGTTATTAAATATGTGTTATATATTATATTTAATTAAATTGATATTTTGACAAATAAAATTAAACTCAATTTAAGTTTAGTTTAGATCATTTCAAGTTAAATCAAGGTAAACTGCATTCAAGTTTAAATCAAGTTGGATCGGCCTCGGATACAGAATGAAGCAAGTGGAACAAAATTTTCAGGTTGGGATCAACTTCAACAGCGTGTGCCTCCCAGCCTATCCATGCATATCTCATAAAGTGCTCACTAGCCCACCTTGGTTCTCTCACAGTATGCTACACTACTAACGGAGATGAATACACACATACATACACGAACACACACATATACATACGCGAATGACGACACGCTACTTAGATAATTTAGTAAAGATCAAGTATCGACTTGAGCAGAATGTTGTCCAACTCCTTATTTCACTACCTAATTTTTTGAGATTACCTTTGTAATATGAAATGAAAGAGACTAGGAGATCCTCTCTGAAACAAAACAAACCCATTGCAGAGAAAATCCCAACTCTCTTGACCCTTAACTAGGTCACCCCCTTTTGCTGGAAGAGATTAGTGTTAAGACTCATTTTCTATATGCAAAAAGACAAGCAACCTAAAGAAGAAAGTTGTATGATAATGTTGTTTGAGGCACTGAGAGATAGGAACCAGATGCTGACATTAACTCAATTGCTGTATTTGATTGCAATTCATGGTTTCAACCAGCTCGATTGCTACTAAAATGATTCCTTTTTATGACTTGTGGAGCATTCTGTTGATTCATCTAACTCAGGTCATTTCCCAAGAATTCCTGACTCCAGCTAACCTGAACAAAATCAAAGTGAATTTGACTAAACCTAAAATACCATGAAACCAAGAAATCTTTAAATTATAAACTTTCTATAGATGAGCTCATTAATATCTACATTTCGGCACATAAAAAATGAACAGCTGTGCCCTTTTTCGGTCAATACTTGCTAACTATAACATTTGGGAGCAACTCAATTTCAAGGAGCCAAAATTGTTGGGAGTACTTCACCTTCACTGATTCATTTGTGAGGATGACGTCTCTTGACCCTCTGTCGTGTGTGGGCAACACGACCATGCATTTTTGTCTTTCTACTGCAAAAGGCCAAACCAAATTTTAATGCATTATGATAGATGAAATTATTTAATTATCTGAATCTTTGTTAGGGGCGGAAAATCTAAGAAAAAGTTGAATCGTGCAATATTTTTGTCACAAAGAAAAAAAAGAAAAAACCTACCCTGAAGATGACTGAAAACAGCTGAAAGAGAACTATAACGGGTAGAATCAATACAGCAATCGCCTGTGACAATTGGAGAAAGAACGTTTAGCTAACTCATAAACATCAAGCATGAAAACTTACCAATAAAGGATCATACCAAAGCCAAACTATTCCTGTTTAAAATTCACAACAGACAGAGCAAAAGGGTGGTAAGTTATGATTAAAAAGCACATACCAAAAGCCATGCTAGATCCATATTTGCAAGTGTTCTTGTTAATTCATGGCTTTTAAGAGTTTCTTGGACCTGAGTACAAAAAATGTGTCAGAAATTTGCAGAAAACACACTGATCTAGCTATATACTCACACAGTTGTTAGACATTCACTCTAGTAATAAATAGACCTGCTCAAGCTAACAGGCACCTTACTGTGCTCAGACCTTCCCAAAGTATGAAAACTTATTACATTTTCCTTCATAATCAAACACATCTGTGATTTTCTCCATTAAAATTTAATGATACTTCTAAAATTAGTTTCTCAGAAATCTTAGTACATGTCAAAGCTATAAATTTTTTTATTTGAAACACTTGAAACCATTCAAAATTAAGAAATCAGACTCTATATACCACAAAAACAAAATTTCACCACCCAACAAGCAGAACCTAGATATTCCGAGAGCCTAATAAGCAACTCATTTATATAGTATGTGAAACTTCCAAAATTGCCAACTTCCTCTCACTAGAAAATAAAAATTGGTTTCTACTGTCTCTTCCAATTCAATTAAGTGTTATCTGTGTGAACGTAAGGCAGTATAGCAGCACATTGCACCTCTTGGGCTGTGGCACCTTTGATCAGGCAGATGCCTTTCGTGCCTAGCATGCCTTTTTTTAAGGTAAAAAGTGCATAGAAAGCATGCTTAAGTGTCCCTTTTGTTTCTTTAGTCTTTAATTTCCTTTTATTAGTTGTCTTTTAACAGTCAAAAAAGGACAATAACATTTCTCTTTACAGGATTATACTTCATGCACAACTTTTTGTGACAATGAAAGTGAAGGAAACATTGAGCTAGTGTATGTCGATGACTTTTGGTTAATAATTATAATGTTTGATCTTTGGCACACTTGAGGCAGTGGAATGGAGCAAACTCATTAATGCTTATTAACAGAATTATATAGCACATTATTTTGTGTATTGTAGCCATGTAGATTGATATTGGAAAATTCCCATCAGCTTATTCCTCAAAAGGCCATGAACCCATAACAACAGAAATAAAATCAGAAGGCATGGCAATCCCCAGTGGTCAAATTTGTACACACCAACATAAAAATAGAAGACATGAGACATGTTACCTGATGGTGGTATAGACTAGCAGAATTGACAAGTTTCCTATAAGTGTGAATCATCTTTTTGGTGTAGGGCTTCAAAGCAACTTCCATTGTTTCATAATGAAGTCTTGTCACCATCACAACCTGATTGACATATGGCTCGGCAAACTTCTTCACCTCCTACCAAAAGATATGCAATTTCCATTAGAGAGAATGTCATAGAGTTGACTGTGCAAGATATGTTTGACCTTGATGCTAATTTACCTGAATGTAAGGATCTGTTAACATGCGTGCCTTGACCACATGTGGTGCCATTGAGTTCATTGATGCATGATAGACCTCATTACTTTTAGAAAGCAGTGACTGACAAAGAGGTTCAAGATAGTTTATGAAAGTTGACCATTCTTCCTTCATCGCTGGGATCCAATGCTTCACAAAATATAACTTGTGATCAGTTTATAATTCAACATATCAATCCACAGAAGTTAGAAAAATGCTTCAAACATCATCACACACGCCAGGGGTACCTTACAATGGTTTTAAGTGTGAGGAAATGAGATTATACACATGGATTGAGCCTAAGATTTTTACTGTATGACATATGCTTTAAAGGTGCAACCAAACATAGAGAAGAAGACATTGCTTATCTAATAAAATTCAACCAGCTGAAGAGACAAAAGAAAGACTACTTATATTAATAAATAAATAAACCAAATGAGGAAGTTAATTTCATTATATTTTAAGTGGCCCAATCCAATAGAAGCTCCAAAATGAGGCAATTAATCAAAAGCAGGAATCATTGTTACCAAATTATGCTTGTGGAAACTATTTTAACCTGCTAGGCAATAGAGAAGCAGTGCACATTTGACACTGGTGTGCATATTATTTTACATTACTAGGCAATAAAGAAGCAGAGCATGTTTTACACCGGTGTCTCCATAAGGCCTACGTAGAAATGAGACAGCTGCATGAACAACCCAACCTATTATGCATGCGCAAAATTTCGTCCAACATAGTATAATTGAAGAAAGCAATAGTAAAAGCTCTAATCTCAAACCAAGTTCATTTAAAGTGTGAATGGACTGAACCATTCAAGATATGAGACTAAATTTAGCAGCAAATACTCTTTTGAAATAATAGTTCATAAGACACTTGAAAATGTAATAAAACCTTAGGGTCAACCTTGAGAGTGCTGATGCAAATACAACATCCTTGAAAAGTATGAAAGACTATAGTTCAGACTTACTGTATTAACATTTCTAATGTGGGGCTCAGCCCACCTTTTAAGTTGATCTTTCTTTTCCAATGCCTGAAGAATATTGTTAAGGAAATAAAAAGGAATGAGATTCCCAACTGATTGATTGGAGCAATAGAATGGTCATCATATTAATATAAAATTAATTCTTGCAAAACACATATTTAATCACAGAAGTTTGCATGTAGTACACGCTACAGCTTTAGAGTTTTAGATCTTAAGAGGCCAAAAACTAGACCTTTTGGATAGTGATGTCCAAAGCAGGTCTCCCATGTTCATTCCAATGAGACACCAAGGACTGCATATAACAAACAATCAATCATAAAAGGATGTCTGCTATAAGTATTGCCTCTAACCCACAAAATATACCTGGGAATTATGAAAGACTGTAGTTCAGACTTACCACATCAACATTTCTAATGTGGGGCTCAGCCCACCTTTTAAGTTGATCTTTCTTTTCCACTACCTGAAGAATATTGTTAAACAAATAAAAAGTAATGAGATTCCAAACTGATTGATTGGAGCAATAGAATGGTCATCAGATAAATATAAAATAATTTCTTGCCAAAAGCATATTTAATCGCAAAAGTTAGCATGTAGTATATACTACAGCTTTAGAGTTTTAGATCTTAAGAGGCCAAAAACTAGACCTTTTGGATAGTAATGTCCAAAGCAGGTCTCCCGAGTTCATTCCAATGAGACACCAAGAAGGCCTGCATATAACAAACAATCAATGATAAAAAGATATCTACTATAAATATTGCCACTGACTCACAAAATATACCTGAAAATGATATAAATGAACTGCTAACCAATGTGGAAGCCACTCTCCATGGACCTGATTGAAGGTTACGATCAATAAAATCAAAGTTAATTCAGCACAGATGAACATGAGAATCAAATAAAAAATCATCAAAATAGGAGCTTTGATGATGTAGGACAAAATATAGAAACTCAATTCAACTCAATTCAATCAAGCCTTATCCAAACTAGTTTTGGCTTACTACAAGATACTGGTAGGAAAGCCAAAGATAGTCCCTCTAAATACCTAGATGCTTATTGCTGTAATGAGCAAAACAAAATTTTAGTTCTTCTCAATTTCTCTAACCCTTTACCATTTATTTGTTCTCAGTTAGTGTTGCTATCAAACTGTTTTCTTCTTGATGTCTTCAACATCTCTTTCTGTGGCTCATTTCTTCCCATTACTCTTCTCAAAAATCAACAGCTACATGGGCAAACTTCTCATTCCTCTATCTTAAATTTTTTATTCCTTTGTTTCTCTTTCTCTCTCTCACTTTCCTCTTCCTTTGCTTGAGCTCTTATGGTCTCAAATATTCTCTCCCTCTTTGATCTCCTTTTACTATAGCATATCTCACACTTTTCTCTTCCATTCTTTTCAATTTCCATCTTGTCTCACTTTCGTACCAGCCTTTTTTCCCCCAATATTTTCCTTCTACCATAGATTTGGAAACACCATACTTAATCATGCCCCTTACTCTTTGCAATTATCTTGGAATGAAACTGTGATATAAATTCATAAAATATTATGCGACCACCTGTCATTTTTATATTACATTTTCCCTTTTCCATAATAGAGCATTAGTGCCTAAAAGTTTGATGGCAAAATTCGTGATCTTGTTATAGCAATGAGATGGTGAGATTCTGAAGAATGTTTAGTAGTTTTTCAATTTTCTTTTTCTAAATCTCACTTTGAGTTCAGACAGGTAGGGTACTTGAGTGTCTTCAACTCGTTTTTCAGATAAGATGGTGGGTTCAGGTAGTGGACAAGTATAGACCTTTTGGGACTGAGAGAAACATACGTAATACTCCTAAACAGGCTCAGGTCAGGCAAAATTGGCGGTACCCAACTCACAGCCATCTCTACCCGTACAACTAGGAACATATAAGTAACAAAGTATAGAGTAAATTTCAAAATAAAGCATTGAAGGATGCCTTCATTCTAATTTAAGCGAATTCAAAATGAATGCCTGAAATACATACAGCTCAAATTAATAACCAGTACCTACAGTTTTGATAATTTTGGTTGGTGGCCATCAATTATTTCAACTTTTGATAAAGTTTTAACTGTTGTGATATCCATGTGTGAAAGGTACACAGGTCACATTAGAGGCCATTCTGAATTTGGCATCAAAACTCCAGGTTTAGCTCAAACTGGCCTTAACTTCAGAGATGAACAAGTAAAATGGTCCCTTATTTGATAAAAAAAATCAACAAACTAGTTATATTCATTATTTATATTTATGTTTGTGCAATACGCTTGCTGCTAACAGTATGACAGTCATACCAAACTGAAAGGAAGGACCAAAAACTTTGGCTCTACCTAATTGGTTAAATCTACTTTCACTCTTTGCCACAAACTCATGATAGATATTGGGATGGCTAAATCATGTCAACCTAAAACATCTCTCATTCGTAATCAAAATGGTATATTCATTCCATTCCACATTTAACCTCATTGAGACTGGTCAATGTTACAACAAGTATTGAGTCTTAAATGGCAGATGTAACTGAAAATTTGTCCCTGCAAGAAAAAACTCAACATGATTTGCATTCATTTCTACCTATGTTCTCAACTAAACACTTTGAGCTATCTAGAGACCTATCCCAAAAAACATTGGACAAGTTTTCACCACTAATGGTGTGATTTGAAAAGTATCACTACTCTAGCATTAGTGGTCAAATTCCAAACTTAATTTATTCAATTTCTCTGAAAGTTTGAAACTAAATAAAACACTGGACCTCTTTAAAAAAATAGTCAATAAGGTTGTCCACAAAGCTGCCTGAACTGCCATACCTTAAAAATTCAGATTCCTCACCTCAGTTACCGCTTTAGATACTGAAGCTGCCCTTAATATTGCTTTCATCATTTCTTCCTACAAATACCACAAAGTTAGTTCTATTCTCTAGAACATAGCAGCAATGAATATCACCAGTAAGTTCATTTAAACCTGTGCTAGTTGAAGTGCCCATTCAGCCTTTTGAATTTTGGATTTCTGTTCACTGTTAATCCTTTGAAGCTGGACAAGGAAGAACAAACAGAAAGAAGTGAGGATTCTTATGTTGCATATAACAGTGGAGAATAATATAAGAAGAATGCTAAGAAACTTGGCAGTGAAGGCAACAAATAACCCAATCCTTCTCACAAAAGAAATCCTACTTTTATAGTAGTCTTTATGAACAGATAAATTTTAAGGAAATGGTGTATTTATGGCATGTCATGAAATTGAAAAAGATGATAAGAAATATTTTGTAGTTCATGTCCTTATCACACACAGAGTTGGAAACTTAATATAGTGCTTGGTAATCAAACTCTTCAAGGTGGAATTTGTATTTTAGAACAACCAAGAAAAGAAAAGAAAGAAATGTAGACAATGAAAAATTGGGACTCAAGGATCTTTCGAAGAAGGAATTATGAAAAAAAATTGTTAAGATAAATACTTGACCTCTACCCTTGACAGCTCACCAGCTCAAACATAATTTACTACATCCGAAAGATGGTTGGAGCAACATAAATCCCTTGGGCTTACCAAACACTCAAAGCTCTACTATGATCCTAACTGCCTGGCTGATTCAATAGGGCCAATGACAGAAGGAGAAAAAAGAAAAAGATAAGACATTCAAACTTGTGTCACAGTAGGTTTAAACACTAGCAACCTGTTAACTGCAAATTTACAAAGTACTGGAATACAGAATAAAATTTTCCATCTTCTTAAAGATTAAATATCATATAGTTGGAGAATCTTGCCCATTAGAATATATAAAAAAAGAAACCATTTTGTAGAACAGAAGGGAAGATTAACTGTCTGTGAAACTGCTACGCTATGGCATCAGAAATCAGCAGGACCTATGTGCAATGATAAAACCACCGCACCAAAGATAAGGAACTTAAAAGGCAATTAGAAAAAAGCATTACTTACATCTTCTAGTTTCACATTTAGTCCCCCAATCTTTTCCTCAGCTACATTTAATCGAACTTCCAGTGCCACTTTTTTCTTATTCTGCATTTCTATTTCCTTTCTAACATTGTCAACCTGTTAGAAAGGGTGGCCCTCAATGAACACAGAAGCTCAAAAACAGTAACTACAAAAGTTAATCCATGACTAACCAACCTGCTTTTCAAGTTCAGCAGCTTGTAAATGCGTGTTTCTCATCTTCTCCTTAGCATCTAGAGATGCTTTTTGCTAATAAAGAAAAATGCGCAGAAAAAGTTTTCTGTCAAGGAATTATACATGGTTTATCTTTTAACTAAAAATATAACTCCTGAAAAACTCAGTAGAAATCAGTCAACATTCCAACCTATTTCTGACGATGAAGAAACAAACAGAAGGGAAAAGACTGTAACCTTACCTCGAAATATTCTATCTCAATCTTCAACGATGAGATCGTGTCTGATTTCTCTCGAATGATGGTATCCAATTGTCTAATACTCTCATCCTTTCTCCTCAATTCACGGATTCTTTCATCAACACTTGATTCTTAGAAAAATATGAAGAAAAGGATGGGTGTTATTCGACCGAGGTGTATATCTCGAACTAAGGTGCTGACTATATATTGATAGTCTGATAATCCAATAGTCTTAGACTCTTGGTAAAGAGCGGCTTAAAGAGAAATTATTAAAGAGAATACAAGAACCTAGTGCTTGACCACAAAAGCAGGGGTTTGACAGGGAAAATTGAATGCAAAATCCAGGTAATTAAGAATTTGCAGAAAACAGTACTTAACCAAAAGGGTGCAATTTCTTACCATTATATGAACTTAATCAAACTGTAACACTATCTAAACCAAAAGAAAAAACCTTTGTAGACACAATGAGCTTCAAAGGAATCTAGAAGAATCTTTACGGATAGAAGACTTAGCATTTTGCCAATAATCTTATATTTTCCTCCTATGTTACACTCTTTCTTTCTTAAACTTACCCAGCAACCAAACAAAGAAAATAGTTACAAAAGCAGTGTAAAAAAGCATTAATTAGAACAAATCTAGTTGAGTTATAGCAAATATATATGTGTGTTAAGTGTAAATGTACCTAAAACTGAAATCTTGGAGCCGAGGTAGTCGACTTCATGCTTAAGAGCAGAGTCTCCATGTTCCGACGAGAGAGTCTCGACGTTTCCAGGTGATGGGTCAGCTGTAATTTGCGTGAAAATTAGGGGTAAGAGTACTAAGAAGAGTAATGGCTTTTTCGAGGTGGCCATTAGAGAGAACCAAAGAGACAATAGATGACAGAGGATGAAACCGCTCTCCGTCTCTCTTTGAAAGCGAATGTCTAGTCTTTTTCCGTACTACGACCAGCTATAAATAGCTATCTCCAGGTAAGTTTTACTGCCGTGTATTCTGTTCATTCCAGGATTTTTACTGGACCTTAGAACGAAACGTAGTGTGGGTAGTAATTTCATTTCGGTGCCACCTAGCCATTCCCTGTATAAGGAACATTTGTTTCTTTGTTCGTTAAAATCAAATAATCATAATAATATTTAAATTATAAATAAAATATTAATATTTTAAAATGTTATGATTAAATTATCAATAAAATATTAATATTATTATAAAAAAGTTTGAAATTTTAATTATATATTATAAAAATATAATATTTTAAATTTAAAAATTAATTAAAATTATTAATATTTTAATCATAATAACATTGAAATTACAAATAAAATGTTAATATTTTAAAATGTTAATGATTAAATTATTAATAAAATATTAATATTTAAATGATTCAAGTATTTAATATTATTGTAAAAAGAAAAACGTTTAAATTTTTAATGATATGTTATAAAATGTATTTTAAATTTAAATGTTAATTAAAATTATTAATATTTTAATCATAATAACATTTAAATTTTAAATAATGTAATTACATTAAAAATATTAATAATTTAATTATATGTGAAATATTAATATACAAATTATCAATTATTAATTTTATTATACCAAAGAGAAATTTTTAATTTTTAATTATTTTTTATAAAAATAATATTTTAAATTTAAAAATTAATAAAAATTATTAATATTTTAATCATAATAACATTGAAATTATAAATAAAATATTAATATCTAAAATATTAATAATTAAATTATCAATTATTAATATATTAAATTATTAAAATTTAATAATAAAATATTCTATTCCATTATCAAAGAAATACTTATTCTATTTTAGTCAATTTTATTCCATAAACCAAATGTGCGATTTGGACCTAAAATATTCTTCTTGAACTTATTTCTTTTGGATTACGAGTTATGTTAAATTAAATGATAAAACATTTTTTGACTCTCAAAATAGAATAAAGAAGATATGGAATAACTACGTCGACATCAGAGACGTATCTAAGGTGAAGGAATGGGAGTAATTATCTCCCACGCGACTCTTAATAATCTTTTATATCTATATATATATATATATATATAATTACATCGACATCAAAAACACATCCAAGATGAGAGAATAGGACAATTACTTATCATTCAACTCCTAATAACCTTACATATATGAGAAAATAAAAAAACAACTTATCACATCATTTTAGACGATGCAATACCTAATACAACAGCAAATAAAAAAAGGTAAAATCCCACTAGGAGGTGATTCAAACAAATGTAATCCTAAAGGCAAGTGCCCATGATGTGTGGTTATCCAATCGACACATTGATTGGCTTCACGCAAAATATAAGATACGAAATAGTCCCGATGCCTGTGCAACCTCTCCTTAATACCTTTTAGCAGATGAAAAATTGGATCCATGGAAGAAATATTGCCTTGCAATTTTTGTACACAAGCAAAGAGTTTGACTCAACTTATATTCTTCAAAGACCCATACTCCAACATAATTTCAACCTTTGAAACAAAGCCCATATTCCTGCCGTAAGTGAAAAAGAAATACCATTATTATACACAAAACCAGCTAGCCATACTGCATTTTCATCTCTAATAATTCCTTCAGCGGCTGTAAGTCCTGGTTGGCCTTGAGCACTACCATATACATTAAGTTTGGCAAAAAATCTCTTTGGCTTGTCCCAACTAATCAACTTTTCATGCTTCAGGACTAAAAGTATCATGATATAGAACATGGGAACGATACATGCTAATTTTAGTACTTAGCAAGATTTTGGTGCAATTCATCATGGAAACGATACTTTACTTTCTATTATATTATAGGTGCACTTGCATGATAAATCTGACAACATGAAGCCGCATGATACATCTCCATACCAGATGACATCTTCTTTAAGTGTGTTTAGGCTAAGATCCATTGAACCTAATTAGCCCTATACTTCTCTAAGATAAGTCGATGGCATAAAACATCATTGTTTGTCCTAAAGCTCCACCAGCATTTGCTCAAAAGCGCTAAGTTCTTGTGATTGATATTAGAGATGCCTAAACCGCCATATCTCTTAGGTTTACACATCATATTTCACTTAACGTTGGAGAGTTTCTAATAATTCGAGCTTCCACCCCATAAAAAAGTATGATGTAGCTGCTCAAGTTTTTGGATAACACTTTTGGGAGCTTGAAAAATGGAAAAGTGGTAAGGAATTAAAAACAGAGCCTATGAGGGCTAACTTCCATTGAAAGAAAGATACTTATGCTGTCACATAGCAAGCCTTTGTTTGACTCTGTTGATCACTAGGTCCCATATGCTGGCAAATCTTGGATTTGCCTTAAGAGGAATGCTGAGATAGGTGAATGGAAGGGAACCCACATTGCACAACTCAAGATAGCTCCAATGTCATGTCCAATCAAATTTACACACAACAACTAGATAAACACAAGATTTGGAGAAGTTAATTCTCAAACCAGACGAGAGCTTAAAGCATCCAAGAATCTGTTTGACTATAAGAACATGGTGAGGGTTTGGTTTCATAAAAATGATAGTGTTGTTGACAAGCTATAGATGTGAGATAGTCATGCCAGAAGCTTATAAGGAGATACCTTTGAAAAATTAGAGTGTCTCGGCTCTAGAGAGTAAAAGATGTAATGCCCTTATATTGTCAGAATAAAAAGAAATGGAGACAATGGATCTCTTTGTCGAAGGCCACGCTTCATTGGAAATTCAGGTGTGGCTGATCCATTAACAAGCACTGAGACTCGTGTTGTGGACATGCATTCATGAATCCATCTTTGCCATTTAACATGAAACCGATGAACTCCATGACTTGTAAGAGAGAGTCCCAATTTACACAGTCCAAAGCCTTTTCAAAATCTAATTTCAGAACAATAGCTTCTCTGTTGTATATACCTTTCTTCATACTATGGATACTATGGATTATCTCATTGGCAAGCATAATGTTGTCTGTAATTTGCCATCCACAAATAAAAGCTGTTTGTAGATAACTTGCTTGAGTCTATTTAAGAAGTTTGGGAGCAAATTCTTAGTTTATGTAAGTGGAATGGAACTAATAAAAGGGCTATATATATGATATTGTACATGTTCTTGTTGTTCCAACCAATTAATTTACCTTAACAAGGAGCTCTTTTATTCCTCTTGCCAACGTAAGTTGCGTACGTATAGTTGTTGTGCATGCATAATAATCGTCCCAAAATGAAAACGAAAAATACAAACATATTGATCACAAGATATAGCATATGATCTTTGAATTCGTAGCGTATCTGACATGAAAGAAGAGAGAGCGAAAGTGAGCAGGAACAACTAGCCGGATCAACACACAGTTAAACCATATATATAACAGACAGAAGCTTAACTGAGGAAAGTGACTTGCGGCAAGTCATTCCTGGCTCAAACCCACTCTCTCTCTCCTCATGCAAGACGTTCTCTCTCACAAAAAGAGCACAACCTTAATCAATCTATCTATCATTTCAGAAAGTCCATTTTTGTGTTTCAGCACTGCTAAGCTGCTATAACATTTTTATAGGCGGAAATGGCTGGAGTTGACCCTTGTGGAGCTTGAAGGAACATCACCACGTTTACTTCTAAAGAAGCATCCACACCATGGAACAGAAGAGAACCTTCATTATCTGTTTTGAGCACTTTTTGGTTCCCTGTATATGATTTGGTCCTACTTGCCATCCACTGGACTAAAGAAAAGAGTGATTGGCTTGGCCATTGTGGGAATCGAATCTTTTTGCAGGATAAGAGGTGGACAGCTGACTTGTTCTGGACTTCAAGAGATGATCAATATGGGGATATGTTCTTCCAAATTTTAGTGTAACTCTCAAAACTTTATACACTTGAAGGAATTAACGAGGTAAACCTGGGTCAAAAGTCTAATTAATTTCTTTCTTTCAGTTCATTTTTTCCTCATTGTTGATAGAATCACTAAAGGAAAAAGTATTTAAGGTCACAATCAATCCCCAACTCAAGTCAAGATAATGATTGAGGTACTCGAAGTCTACTCAGCTTCAATATTGAGCCTCAATTGAAGAAGCACTCCACGTATGCATACTCTACCATATAATCATCAAGTTATTAGTTTAAAATTGGTTTAATAATTCATATAATATCCGGAACTATGCTCAAAATTTTCTTTTAGTACTTAAAATTTAATCGAAAAAGTCCTTTTTCTATACATGATTATTCAAATAACTCATTTTTTATAACAACAAATCTTTGAACTTTTATTTTAAGTTAAATAAACCATTAAAACTAATGAAAAAAATAAATAATTTTTGTCTCCTTAATAACGGTCATTTTATATTTATATAACACACTGATGTAGTTAGGTGGTAGATGAGGTAACCAAGCGGCACAAAACCATATTAACAATGCCATTTGATTATCTCATTTACTATTTAATTACGTCAACATATCACATCAAATACCACGTGGCAAACAAAAAATGACAAGTTAGCTTTTCTTTAATTTTAAGAACTTATTTGACCCATAATAAAAATTTAAAAGTTTGTTTAAATGCAATAAAAGATGTGAGACTTATTGGAATAATCGTATATAGTTTAGGAGGTTTTTTAAATATTATGCTAATTTAAAATTTGCAATTTGATACTTGAATTTTGCTTCTAATAACCATATTACACATTCCGAAATTCCATTAGCACAAAGTGTGACATATACACAAAGGCCAATAAAAACCCAAAAATTGACATATTCTAATACAAAATACAATGTATTGGGAACCGCCTAGAACTTTCTTCCAAAATGTTAGAGAAATGTGCAATATATTTAATGGAAACAAAGTTTGAATACTTAATTACATATTTTTAAATTTTAAATATCAAATTAGGTATTTTATTATAATTTAGGCAGTAAATACATAAATTAATCTCTTAAAATTTA